AAGATGACGGGGCTGCAGTTCGCGGACGAGCCCTCGTGAGACTGCGAGGACCCCAACGGGCTCTGCCTCGCTTGGCTGCTGGGTAAGAGGCAAACCTGCCAACCGTTGCCTTGATCGCGGATCGCTAGGATGTCCGTTAACTTGTGCAAGTCCGATGCATTCAGCTTGTGTCCGAACCTAGAGGCCCGGAAACAAGAAACTGCTCCGTGAAATGAAAACAAACAAAAAAGCAACAGAAGAAATCTGCAGCTATTACAGACCTCCTGGAATATAAGATCGTCCTCGACTGATGACCACAACAGAGCCCCAAAATTGCTGTTGTGTAAGCAAGACATTTTTAAGTGAGTTTGGCCCCACTTTACAATTTTTCTTGCCGTGGTGGTTAAGGGAATCACTGCGTCAACTAAAAAGATATTCCTTTCATCTTTTTAGCTTCCAGAAAAAGGGAGTGGGGGAAAACAGCGCATTCCTTAAGTGCCTAGATAATCGCCCTGGCAGCCCAAAGTTGTTGGAGCGCAAGAATATTACTGGAGAGCATGATGGATGATTCTTGGCTATGGATGTGTCCCATTGGAGAATATACATCCAAGGGGTGGGGTGGGGAGAAGGCCAGGGTCAAGGGGGAAATGAATGATGTATTTTAGTATCGGCTGCATCCAGCCAACGCTAACATAGCCACTTCTAATAAATCAATATTCTTTTCTCTGAGAGATGCGGCTAGAGACTTATGATTTGAATGGGGGTAGATTTGTTGGGAGTCCTGAGAGCCTGCAGTTGATAAGTTAGTCACCTGGTTGTTAAGCGAACCTGGCTTCCCCGTTGATTTTTGCTCGTCAGAAGGTCGCAAAAGGGGATCACGTGACCCCCGGGGACACGGCAAAGAGTCATAAATATGAGTCAGCTGCCAAGCAACACGATTTTGTTCACATGACCACGGGGATGCTGCAATGGCCGTGAGTGTGAAAAATGGCCGTTAAGTCACTTTTTTCAGTGCCGTTTTAGCTTTGAATGGTCACTAAATGAACTGTTCTGTTGTTAAGTCGAAGACTGCCTGCAGCAGGGATTAAATTCTGGATCAAAAATGACCGCACGAGTTCCTCAAACCCAGCAGAGCACTGGGTGCAAAGTTTCCCACTTACTTTTTCTCGTAAATTTCAGTGAATTTGGAAAGGGGGAGGCAGCAGGCTGGGGCGTCCTGAAGAATCGATATTGCTTCTGAACTGTAAAAAGACAAAGAGCTCATTAAGGAACAGCTTTGGTCACCCCTGTTATTCTTTTCTTTCTTTGCAGAACTGAAAGCAACTAGGCTGGCAAGTAGCAAAGGTTCTATGGGCAGACTAACTTTAGAAATCAAAGAGAAGGGTGAGACAGAGTATTATGACGTCTGGAGTAAAATGTATCAATGGCCAGAGTCAAGGAAAAAGAAAGGAGGGGTTGATGCTTTATAGGAATGAAAAGTTAAAGTTTTGTAAACCAAAGAGAATGGAATATAATGGACAAATATGAGATGATACAAATGCATGAAAGATGGTGGTGAATATGTATATAATTGTATATAAATGTAAACAGAAACAATATGCAGCTAGCACTATACTAATAACATAAGGGAAAAAGGAAATTAACTGTTATGTGTATCTTTATACTATAGCTTGTATGGCCAAAATGATGGCCAAGAAAGTCGCACTGTGTTCAATTGTTTTTAATGTTTATTCAATAAAATTTATTAATTAAAAAAAAAGTAGCAAAGGTTCTACTTTGAGGACCCCTGCTCTAATCCACAGAATGTTTTCAGTTCAGAGACGGGAAGTGCTACGGGAAGATATTATAGTAGCTGTCGTTTTACCTAATCAGTGGCAGACATTTGCTGGCCGCTCCTGTGGCTAAGGAGACCTGGATCCTCTTGTTACCAATTTTGTATCTGTGCAAACTGTTGACAGCAGTGATGGCCTCTTGAAGGTTCTCCATCTGAAC